ACACACACACAAAAATAATAAAAAAAAAAAATTAAAAAAAAAAGATGATGTCATCTGTTCCTAGAAAGATCTATAGCCTTTGGGAACAACCCTATGAGACACATCTACTCTCTTTGAGTCTATCCATTCAAACTGACTTCAGAGTAGCGGGGTTTTTTGTGTTTTGTTTTGTTTTTTTCTAAGTGACTCAGGGCACATAACAACAACATTTAGGGTAAACAGAGAAAGAGGGTCCACAGGTAAGTAAGGGTAACAGTTACAGAAACAAAACAAAAGGTGGGGGAAATGGAGCAACTGAGATGGACAGAGATTCTAGTGAGGACAAAACTAGCCCCTAGAGAACTCAGGCAGCGGGTGAGAAGTAAAGCAGCGAGTGTGAAATAGTTGCGGGTACTGAAGTCAAGGGTGAGAGAAGGGAAGCCAGTACGTGCCACGTGGTTGAACCCCCTGACCTGAACTGTGGGTCTCCCCAGGTGTACTTTGGACGCTGGCTGATCGAAGGGGGTCCCCTGGTGGTGCTACTGGACGTGGGAGCCTCTGCCTGGGCCCTGGAGCGCTGGAAGGGCGAGCTCTGGGATACCTGCAACATCGGGGTGCCTTGGTACGACCGGGAGGCCAACGATGCTGTCCTTTTTGGCTTCCTGACCACCTGGTTCCTGGGCGAGGTAGGCCCCACAGCCAGCCCCACCTCACTCCTCTTACCCCAGCCCAAAAAGAGATACTCCCATCAGTCCCTGGGCTGGAGGGTGGCTGGAAGGGCTTCCCCAGGGCATCCTGGGAGTTGTATTTCTTTTAATTCTAAGTGGACCTTTGAGGACAGAGACACTCAGTGGCAGGGACACCCTCTTGTTCCCTCAGGATAAAACTCCCAATCCCAGCTTCACACACGCCAATCTTCCCATTATATAGATTCTGAGCTATTAGCTTTTAGAAATTAAATCTCAGGGGAGCTCTGGTGGCCTAGTGGCAAGGAGCTGCAACTACAATCCCAGAGGCGAACGGTTCGAATCCACCAGATGCTCTGCCGAGTAAGGAGGGACAATCTCCTCCTGTACCAGTCAGATCTGATTTGACGGTACACGCACACAAAAATAATAAAATAAAATTTAAAAAAAAAAGAAGAAATTAAACCTCAATCTAAAGAGAACAAAAATCCTCACAAAAGGACCAATAAGCTCTGGCGGTTGGAATCCACTAGCGAATGATGGGGAGAAAGATGGGCAGTCTCCTCCCACGCGATTTACAGCCTCCAAAAAACCCACTGGAGGTTCAGCCGAATCAGTTTCGACTATCTGGCAATGAAGGAAGAGAGTTGATAAACCGAGACCAAAAAAATGAAGTCACCAAGCATTTCATGTCATTCAGATCCACAATTAGCACCTGCAGAAGCAGCAGTCACTATAGTTGATGACATACTTCACTGAACAAATCTGCTGCCGAGGACCTCTTTCAGATGTTTCAAAGCAAGGATGTCATATTGAAGCCTAAGGTGCACCTGACCTGAGCTGTGGTACTTTGAATTGCCTTGTGCACATGCAAAAACTGGACAACAGCTAAGAAAAGACTTAAGTCTTTGAATTGTCTTGGAGAAAAGTTTTGAATGTACCCAAGGACTGACTGTTGTTGATTGCTGTCGAGTCAAGCACAACTCATAGCAACCCTATGAACAAAAGGCCTGAAGCCTTTCTATAACTATCGACAGTTCTTATAGAAGAACAGACAAATCTGTTTTGGGAGAAAGAGGTGCGGCCAGAGAGCGATCCTTAAAAGCAAGGATCATGGCACTTTGGTTTTTGTTTGTTTTGAATCTGTAATGAGAAAAGTCTGTATATACATTTGAGCTGTGGTGGCATGGTCTGGAGGGGGCTGCCCTTTGGGAATCTCATCCAGATACTGGCTGGTTCCAGAAGCTCTCCTCATTCCACTTTGGATGTCTGTCAGTTCTTGGAAGTTGGGTGAAATTCCACCAGGTTAATAGAGGCCTTGGTGGCCTGCGTCCTCAAGGGGGAGTCATTGGACCCTCACTTGACATCACTTCTACGTTGTACTGTTAGAAGGAGAAATCGGTCCCTAGGGAAGGACCCAAGGAGCTTAGTAGAGAAAAGAGCAAAAAGAAGAGAGAGGCCCTTCTTGAGATGGATTGACAGCGGCTACAACAGTGGGCTCAAAACAGCAAAAGCTGTGAGAATGGTGTAAGATCAGACCATGTTCCTTTTGATTGCACATGGGGTCCCTGCGTGTCATTGTGATAACACTGAAAGAACCCTTGTTCTTAGGGAGGACTTGTTGCAAGGAATTCTGGGGATTGTAGTTCTCTGGTATGGTTTCCATTAAATTCTGAGAGAACACCAGGTTGTTTAGGAACTCCCCCCAGCCTCTCTGAGAATCATACATTCAAGTGTTTACATCTTCCTCCTAGGTTTTAAAAAGCTCAAAAGCTTCTGTTTCCCATGCCCTGTGACAGTTCACGAATGGGTGGCTTGCTCCCTGAGGCATTCTGGGAGTTGTAGTCCTTTAATCAGCTTTGTGTATTAGGAGGTCAATCTTTTTATTATTATTATTAAATTTTATTAGTTTTAATGAACATTTACAG